CCAAAGCCCATCTGTAGACAATGGAACATCCCCCCACAGAGGGGTTTCAGGGAATGGATAGAGCACCGATGGATCATGCAATATACCTCTGGTTCCTTGAGGCTTCCTCACCCCCCCATATCATGACCCCTAGTGCTGCTTCCCACTCTGGACAGGACCAGAATATGTACATAGGTATAGAGAAGAGATAAAGCTCAAAACACACGGAACCTAGGAACAAGAATGGGAATAGTGATGCCAAAAGGGGAAGGGGAAGGGGAGGAGTGGAGGGGAGGGGAGGAACAGGGTACTGATCACAATGAATGGCACATAACCACACACCCCTCTCCAGGGGGAAGAATAACAGAAACCAGAGGGGAAGGAAGACAGTGGTCAGTGTGGGATATGAAAATAATAACCATTTATCATCTATCAAGGGTCCACAAGGGTTGGGGTGGGGGTGGGAAAGAAGAGCTTATCCCAAGGGCTCATTAGAAAGTAAATGTCTAGAAAAGAACAATGGCAATATATATACTAATATGTCTGATACAATTAATGTATGTATTGTAACAAGAGCTGTAAGAGCCCCCAATAAAATGCTCTTTAAAAAAGCTAAAACTACAATAGCTTAACAAAAAAATACAAATAACACAGTCAAAAAATGTACAAAAGACATTAACAGACAATTTACCAAAGACGACATCCAGGTGTCCAACAACCATGAAGAAATGTTTAAGTTCATTAGCAATAAGAGAAAAACAAAACAACAATGAGATACTGCCTCACACTGACACTTTTAGCAAAAGTCAATAAAACAGAAAATAATGAATGTTGGAGAGGATATGGAGAGATAAAAAAGCTTTTACATTGCTGGTGGACTGTTGAATTGTACAATCACTATGGAAACCAATATGTCTTTTCCTTAATGGAATGCAAATACAATAGGCATTTTGATGCATGATTCAACAATCTCTCTACTGGGTATATACGCTAAAGAAATCAAGACTATAGCATGGACAGACATATGCCCACCACCTATGTTTATTTCAGCAATTTCCATAATAACAAAAACATAGAAACAACAAAAAAACTCCAATTATACAGCAATGGATAAACAAACATAAAATGTAATATATATCAATAACAAACAATGACCACTCTCTTAAACACCACAAAACAAGGATAAAACTAGAGAACATTAAGCTTAGCAAACAGCCAATATTACTGAGATAAATATTTAATAACACCATTATTATAAAGAAAAAGAAACTATTTTTATACAAAATAATAAGACTTTGAAGACTGCGAGGAAGCCAGGGACAGGAGTGACAACAGAGAGAGGAGAGGAATAGGATCTTGAGGAGAAAGAATGGGGAGAAGGGGAGAAAGAGAACCACATTTATGGAGGGTCCAACTGAATATTGTTGATTTCATTTGTTGAGATGTTCTGTGAAATTATATACAGTGTGTTTAAAAACAAACAAACAAAATCCCTTGATTCTTTACCTTTTGGACCTAATTATTGGTCTGAGTGGTCAAAAAAAAGAGGAAAAGTAAAGCTGAAATGGAATTTGAATCTTTAATATATATATAGCTTAGTATATGTGGATTGTTATTTTGTTATTTGAAGACCTTAACTGAGACATTTTAGACCAGTGGTTCTTAACCTTCCTAATGCCGCAACCCTTTAATACAGTTCCTCATGTTGTGGTGACCCCCAACCATAAAATTATTTTTGTTGCTACTTCATAACTGCAATTTTGCTACTGTTATGAATTGGGCGATCCCTGTCAAAGGTTTATTTGACCCCAAAAGGGGTCACGATCCACAGGTTGAGAACCACTGTGTTAAACTGTTGCCTGAAATTAGACTGTTGTCATGAAATGAATTGTGCTCCCGCCAAATAGGTGTCAACTGGGTGAGGCACTGATTGTCAGTTAGTTATGTGATGACGCAATTTGGCAATTATATTATGATGTAAAAGATCCTTGTTATATGATCTGATATCCTTTCTTTTGTGCTATGTTATAAATCCTAACCTCTCCTAGTAAATGAAGTCATATTAGGTTGTATTAATAAGGATTAGGTTGTTTTTCTTATGTCTATGAGTCAGGGTTAGGGTGGAATACAGCACTCTTAACTCATGTCACAAGTCCTGTTCTGATATGAGGAACTATAGAATTGCAATGAGTTGAAATAGACTCGATGACAACAAACTTCTTTTGTTTTCTTTTTATTTTGTGTGGCCTGCATCATCTTTTATCTTACAAGAAATAAAATTAAAGAGAAGCTAGGAAAGGAGGAGAGACCTCAGTAATACCAAGAAAGAAATACCAGAATCTGAGCCTATCATTTGAATATAGAGTTTCTGAACCCTATACTGAGAACCTCATAGACACAGGGGAAGATGGATCCTTAGGCACATGGAGATCTCCAAGGAATGCTGGGCTCATATATGCTGAAAAAGGAAATGGAATATCTCCCATAACTTATGCACAGCAAGAGAGAAAAATCGTCCCTATAGGTAGTGCCTAGAACTCAGACTTCTAGCTTTCTGAATAGTGAGAAAATAAATTTGTTTGTATTCTTTTGCTATAGCAGCAATAGATAGAACAGAATTGAGAATAGAGGACTATCTACATATGGGCAGCTGATCTTTGACAAAGGGCTGAAATCCATCAAATGGGTAAGAGTTTATTTAAACAAATGGCATAGGAACAATATTGAAAAAAGGATACATATCTGACACCATATATAAAATTAATTACCATAGATAAAAAATTTAATGGTAAAACAAATTTATAAAGATCATCAATTGAAAATAGGAGCAGGAAGGGATAAGAAAGAAGTACAACTGGAAACACAGGGAATAAATGGGATTCCAATCAATGAAGGGATAAGAAAGAAGTACAAATGGAAACACAGGGAATAAATGAGATTCCAGTCAATGTCACAAAATAAAATGTGCATGTATTGTTGGAGGGAAAAATCAATTGCTTCTGAAAATTTTCACCCAAATAATAATAAAATGTTTTTTAAAAATTAAAAATTACAATGTGGGTAGACTTCCAGCAAGATGGCGACTGAGTAATACATACCAGAGGGACTTCGCAGAAATCAGCACAGGAAAGTCACTGAGAGGGAAACTCAACTCTTCCAGGTCATAGGAGGAGCATCATAAAGATAAGTAGAAACAAATCCACTAGGTTTTGAGGAGTTGGGGGCTTTTGGATTACCACTGTGGAGGCTGGTTAAGGGTTAACTTTAAGCCCGCCACAGTCTGGGCCAGAGCCAGGCTCCTTTGATCAGCCCAAAGGCTTTACTTCAACACAGCCACAGCTTATCACCTTCTCTGGGCAGGGCTTAAATCCCTCCAGCCCCACAATCAGACAATCAGGGCTCAGCTCTCTTTACTTTTGTTTCTCTCCTCTCTTTCCCCACACAGTCTCAGCAGTCTCAGGTTTTTTTTCTCACCCTTTTCCTCTCACATGCCACTGCCAGCATCCAGGTCACTCCCCATTTACCTAGGGCAATTACGCCCACCCTCCACCTAGCTGGGGGAACTCCCACTTTCTAATGTGTAACATGTGGCTGAGGAAATCCCACCATCTTCCACTGCAGTTGAACTCCCACCTACGTTCAAGGCCCTTTAAGCAGATGGGGGAATCCCAGCAGCCCTTTGGGGTGCTTCACTTGTCTGGGGGGAACCTCTGCCCACCTTCCACAGTGCTCCACTTGGCTGGGGGAGCCCCTGCCTGTCTTCTGGGGTCCCACATGGCTGAGGGAGCTTCCTCCCGCCTGCCATAGTGCTTTACACAGCCTAAGACAGCTCCACCAACCCTCTCCAATGCTCCACACTGTTGTAGGAACCTCTGCCCCACCTGCACGCCGCCAATCTAGGAAATTCTGCCCACCATCCACGGTGCTCTACACTAAAGCAGGCACACCCACCTGCCCTCTGCTGTACTCCCGTTGCAGCAGGCACCCCCTCACTCACTCTGAGGCACCCCAAGATGACGTGGGCCACACCACCACAGCTTTCTGTGAGATCATCCACTGCAGGGCCATTCTCACAGGTCCACAACCACTCAAACAGCATCCCCTGAGAGGACCATCCAACTTGCCCTCCAAGTAACAGAATGCTGGTTAGCTAAGGAAAGAGTGCAACAACAGGAGGATAAAGCGGTAGCCTGATCCCACAGTGCAATTAACTGCAGGCAGTTTGAATAAGCACTCCTATGGCAATCCCGAAGAGAGAGCCCAGTGCTCTACAACTCTGAAAAATGGTGTCAGGCTCCTCTAAAACAACACAATGCAAGGAGCAATTGGCCCCAACAACCTCTAATGAAAAATACAGGAGAAACAAAAGGCAACGTCAAAAGAAGTATTTGTTCGCCCTGCCATTCTAGTCCAATTCTAACACAAACAGGAAAAATACTAACTAAAATCTAACAATTTAAAGAATGAACCTGGTGGTGCAGTAGTTAAACACCCAGCTGCTAACTAAAAAAGGAGTAGTTCAAATCCACCAGCTGCTCTGCGAAGGAAAGATGTAGGTAGCAGTCTGCTGTTATAAAGATTATAGCCTTGGAAACCCTATGGAGCAGGTCTAACAATTCAGAGAAAATAATAAACTAAATAAAATGATGAACTTAAGTTAGGCATTTCTCTGCAGTGGCTAATACATTAAAATCACCTGGGAGTTTTACAAACTGTTGAAGCTTAGGCTTTGCATAGATTCTGTTTAATTAATTGGATTATTTTCCAAAAGCTTTTCAGGGGATTTTTACATGTAGCCAGAAAGAAGATTCACTAATTTAAATCATCTTGTAATGAACACACTCTACCTTTATATTATCCAGATAAATAAATTGAAGCCAGAGGAGAAGCAGTAGTTACTCTTTGGCTCTGTACAAATTTTAAAACTAACAGGAAATTAAAAATAAGGTGGCTCTGAGTAAATGGAGTGAAAAAGATGCAGATAATATTGAAAGGCTATAGTTGGACTTTATTGAACGTACCATATAGTCTGCAATATCTTCTGGTGCATCACCATCAACATCAAACTTGAAAGTGACCATTTTGTTGTTGTGTGTCTCCAGCTGACACTCCACCATGTTGTCTCCAGAAGTTGACACCTGAGCACAAACATATTACCAGTTTAAAAGTCAGTAATTGTCTTATCTCTGCAAATTTTGCAGGGAACAGCCATATGAATTCACAAGCAATATATAAGAGATATGATTTAAATGGTTCCAAATCTAGAAAGATTCTTTTTCCCTTGATGAAATATTACCCAAACAACTATTTTCTGATGATTCTAAGAAATTAAAATTAGCACAAAAAAAAAGTTAAGAATGCGATTCTGTGTTAGTGAGAAAGACTACTGAACACAACTTTTAAAGAAAGATAAAAGTGTTAGAAATCATGATAAACAAACAAAAAAACCTCACTGCCATCAAGTCAATTCAATGGTGACTCTATAGGACAGGGTAGAAATGCCGCTGTGGGTTTTCATGACTGTAAATCTTTTTTTAAGGACAATGTTTTCATTGCTATCAGAGGCTTTTATCATCGATCATGACATGGTTGTGACTGCAATAGCTTCTCAGACTGCACAGAGAGCTCAGGATCCAGAAGTCTCTAAGAAAAATATATAGACAGACTGGGGAGGAAGGAGAATAACTTTTATAGAGAAAATCCTAGCAACATAAAACTTGGGTACTGAATTCAGTTATTACATGTTACAGATTCAAATCATAGAGCTGCCCCAACGTCTAGACAGTCTTTACTACTGTTTATAAATTGGGGGGAGGGGGATTCTGATCAGTTACAAAATCTAACCTCAGTTGTTTACATACATGTTTCTTTGGTGAGCACCTGGATATATTAACTTTATCACAAATAATTTTATACAAATATATAAAAAATGCTTTCAACAAATCTAAACATGTCCTAATCACATACATACCACTTTTAAGTTTCACTTTAAGATAAACAAAAATAAAAGCATCAATTTTATTTCTAGACTTTAGAAATTGAAATGAGAGAAACACTAAAAATCAACCTGTTTATTATGTGAGTCTTTTTGTTTACCACCTGATTCATATAAAACAATTTCAAAGTTAGACTAATTTAGATGTGAATCATGAATTATTCCTGACAGTCATCCAAACATTTGTTCACTAAGTTGCTAAAAAAAAGGTGGGGAAGGGTTTCCTGCTTAGTGGAGGCCAGGGTATATAGATCAACATGCATAAAATTCATTAAGTATTCAATGAAGAAGAAAGCAAAAGAGGAAAATTACATTAAGATGCTGGGTATAAGGTTTGCTAGCTACAAGTTTTGGAACTTTTAAAAACATGAAACATGACTTGGTGACACAGGGCAAGTAATATTATATGTCAGCAGAGAAAGAAAAGAACTTGCAAACACTATTTTTTTTCTTAAATATTGGATTTTTTGAACTTTTTAATACTTTTTTGGTCTTTTGAGTATTTAAATGTTGACTAATTAGCCACACAGTAAACAAGGCTTTTTTCCCCTTCTGGCTCATTTCAATTCATCCTCTTAAGGTATTAATCTCCTATATATCCTTTCCTGGTTTTGCATGTTCCCATTCCCAGAGTAGCCTGCCTTAGTTTTGCACTAGAAGGTAAGAATTGTTGACACTACATGACAGAAACAGGCTGCAAAGGCGGACGAGGGGAATCATGCCCCTCTTGCCTTGATAAATCAGTGCTACACACAGAACTCACATTTTCTGAAGCATTATCTTCATTATAGAGCCGTTTAATCCCATCATAGAAGTCATCCACTTCGATTTCCTCTACTTTACGTTTAGCCGAGGTATGCTTGCACCCACTGGCAGCTGGGGGATGATGGTAGAAGGCCGCTGTACCTCTGACTGGCACTTCTGGTTTGCTGTTGTCCTTGGAGAAATCCAGGCCTAGGACAGAGGCGGACTGTAATCTGAACACTCCTTTGTCACCAACGGTTACCAGGGCGTGCTTGAGGGGACGGTAGACATAAACGGAATTCAGAGGCAGGGGAGACTGCAGAGTAGAAAGGTGATGTGCCACCAGCTCCCGGCAGTGAATCAACTGGGAGCTATCCATCTGTGCTTTCTGAAGCAGTTCAATTGGGAGAGGAAGCCAATCAGGAATGAGTTTCTCCATCTCTAAACTAACCATGGCCGGAGCAAGCATGGACCCTTTGAATTGCAGAAGTTGGTTGCAGGCCATACAGTGGAGGAGTTGCTTGGTAAGGAATGCCAAATGTTGAGATGGGCTCAGTTTGGGAAAACTGAAGAGTAACTGAGGCCTTGTTGACACTGCAATGTGGAGAAAATCCAATGGTGTGGCTGTGTGAAGATCCCAATTCAATTTATCCAGAATAATTCTCTCCATTCTCAGAATTTCAGTCGAAGAGCATCCACAGAAACTGTCTCTTGCCAAAACTTTCAGAACTGGAATTCTCTCATCTTCCTCAACAGTCTTGGCAGCTAAGAAAAAACAGCTGATTGCAATACAGCTCAAATATTTTGGGTGGGCCTTTATGGTTGCTAAAAACCTGTCCAATAGACTGCTAGCCAGAGCAAATGTTTCTGGATAGAGGTTGAACTGGTACTTGAGCTTGACCAGCCACTGGATCACTTCATCTCTCTGGGATGGAGACACATTCTGACTTGTAGGCATTTGGGGGACATTCACTTTCCACATCTGGGCTTCCCTCGAGATTGCCTTTTCCAATACGAAAGACAATCTCTGGTTTTCCAAAGGTCCTGGAAACTTCATGGTATCCTTTGGATCTGCATGCCACCCAGTTTGATGTAGCTACCTTATCCTCCTCTTCCTCATCCTCCTTGGGGACACGGGGTCATCCCTGGGCCAGTTACCACCTCATGCTCCTCAGCGCACGGCGGGCGCGGGACTAGACCAGGCCGACTGAAGAGGGAGAAGAGGGGGAACTGGGCCGGGGGACGCGGGCACAGGGGCTCGGGCGGGGCGCACAGCTGCGGCTGGGGGGCAGGGTCAGTCAGTGAATTAGTTCCATGATGACACCAAACCTGTGGCTGCCACCGCCAACGGTTCCCCTACTCCCTCCAACCGCTACTGCCGCTGGTGCCTGGGTGGGGAGGGGGCTCCCTCTCGCCATAGGGCCGCAGGGGCGGGGGAGACCAGCTCTGCCCCTGCCCGGGGGAATGTGCCTCCGAGCGGAAATGGTGAAAGGGGGGAGAGGGAAAGAGAAAAGAATAAAGGAGGGGAATGGGGGGAGAGGATATGAAAAAGCGAGGCATAGGCTGCTGCGTCTGCTGGCCGGGAAGGCTGGGGAGGGAGGGCCATGACTGTATATCTTACCGGGAGTAGAAAGCCTCATATTTCTCCTAAGGAGTGGCTGGTGGTTTCAAACTGCTGATCTTATAATTAGCAGCCCAATGAGTAAACCATTATGCCACCAGGGCTCCATTTAGAAACCATATAGTTATGGGCAATTAAAGATTTAAATTCAGTCATTCCCCTTCAAATTTCTCTTAGCCCCATAAATTGACCCATCAGTCATAGGTTCTCAAATTTATTTGGCCTTTTCAATTTGAATTTTGGTGCTAGTGAAGAAAATTAAAAGCAGCATTGACTGTTCTTTAAAGCACACGGGTGAGACTTGTTTTACATACTTTGGACATGCTATCAGGAGCGGCCAGTCCCTGGAAAAGAACAGGGACAATGAAAAAGAGGAGGACCTTTGTCAAGATGGATTGACACAGTGGCAATAACCATGGGTTCAAACATAAGAACAACTGTCAGGATGGCACAGGACCAGGCAGTCTTTTGTTTTGTTGTATATACAGTCAGTCATTGAGTTCAAACTGACCCAACTTAAAAAAAAAGTAATCAGCGCCCTCCTAACAGACACCTGTAATATTGCCCATAACCCAGGATAAAGTATAGGCTTCTGTTTTTACAGCCCCCCCCCTCGTGTCATTCCAGCAGCTCCAGTGGGGGGCAGTGTTATCCACTTTGGGAAACATTGTTTTAAGTAAATGATGATGTACTATAATGGAAATACACTCGTGAAAAGTGGAATTGAAAGATAATGGAACTTTTCCAAGAACTTTTAAAAGTTCTCAAGTATAAACTGGTCTAACCTTTCTAGAAAACAATTTAGCAACGTATATTTAGAAACTTTAAAAATTTTCATACTCTTTCACCTAGCAATTCTAGTTGGAAACCTATCATAAGGAAATAAATAATATATACAAAGACTTATGTCTAAGAATATCTACTACAGAGAGACAGAAAACAGTCTATTGAAAAACAGACAGGACTTATATAAGGAGTAACAATACCTCTATAACCAAGACAACACACACTACCATGGACTTCATTCCAACTCATACTGACTCTAGGATAGAGTAGACCAAGGCTGTAATGTTATAGAAGCAGACGGTCTCATCTTTCTCCCATGGTGAGTTTGAAACTGACCTTTAGGTTAGCAGCCCTACACTTATCCACTTGGCCACCAAGGCTCCTACATAAGGAACTATCTAATGCAGTCATTTAACATATGGTGTTATTGAAAAAGTACTTTACGATACAGGAAAATTTATTTGATCTTTTAAAGTTTTTTTTAAAAGCAATATATGAAATTGTGTGAAAGTTTAAACAGCCATACTTAATGCATAATCATATTAGTTAAATAAATGTGTTCAGAGGTATCATTTGCTAGTTGAATAACTTTAGGCAAATTATTTTTACCTCTCTGACAATTAATATCCTCATGTGTACAGAATAGTATACTAGCAACAATAATACAGGATTACTAAAAGTTTTAATGTATAATATTTATTGTGCATTTTTCTTGTTCACACCTGCCATTGAGTTCATTCTGACTCATGGTGACATAATGCCTGTCAGAGAAGATTTTCAATTTTTCAGAAGTAGATGGCCAGGTCTTTCTTTAAAAACACTTATGACAGGATTTGAACCACCAATCTTTCAATTAACAGCTAAATGTTTAATCATTTACACAATCCAGAGACTCCATTTGGAGTACCTAGCAGAGAAGAATTCAATACAAATTTGATACTATTATTATTTTTAGTATTATCTTGATTATGTAAAATGTTACATATACATACAGTAAAAAAGGAATGGAAGTAAATGAAAACATTAATGGGAACTATCTCAGAGTTGTAGAATTACAAATGAGCTTTTTCTTCTTTATGTTTTTTCCAAATTTAACAGTTAACATAAAATATTTTTAGCAGGAATTTTTTAAACTGGGGAAAATGTTGCTTCAGAGTGAGTTCTACAATATTCTATACCCACTTCTTCAACATCAGCCTATCCCCAATCCACCAGACCTCTACATGTGGTCTTAATGATATGGTAATATTTACACACTGACCTGAAGAACAATTAGCTGGAATTTAGTTCCCTTCTCTGGTCGGGGACAGGAAGCTCTTCTCTGTTTACTCCTATCTTGCTTGCCATTTCCACCTGGATTATCAGGGCTATTGGTGTTTTCCTTCATAGCTAGTACATCATGATTCAAGCTAGCAATGGTGAAAAAGTAACATGTGTTCAACTTCTCAGAGCAGACAATATTCAGTAATTCTCAAAGCCCAATATTTAACACAAATTCTAACAAAGTATATTTACACAGGAATAGTGTAGGGGCAAAAATAAAATAAAATTATATGAATAGTTTCAACATGGTTAATCATAACTACTACTTTGTAGGCTCAATTCAATTCAATATGGCAGAATAACTTTTTGTTTATCTGATAAAAGGCATTTTTAGCCTTTTCTCTAATAAATTTGAAATCAATGGATAAAAAAATTCCAATAGAATACATTTGAAACTTAAATAAAAAAAACTGGCAAGCAGCAAATTGATATCTTCTAAATTATTTTTTATGTAAACCCTTTATCCTAAAAGTTACTCATGTTTTGTATTTGGAACAAGGTGACAGAAACACATATCTCCTTGCTACTCTGTCCTAAGCACAACTTAAGGTTCTGAAAATAATACAGTATACAATTATAGGACAGTTGTGAAGGGTGAAAAGATGAAAATAGATTGGCTGTGGGCACCCAAAGCTTGAGGAAAAATTTCCCAGCTTAGTGTCTCCTGATAACCCACCTAGCACCAGAAGGAGATTCAGGTCCAACACCAGATCCCCTACCCAGAAGCACTGTTGGTTTGAGACCAGGCCTGGAGAAGTACTCTTTTCACCTATGATCAAGCACCTCCTATTCAGAACCTAGTGGCAAAAGACCAAGAGAAGTGCATTCTGCACCCCACAGCACCAACAGGGAGCCCCAGAAGTGCAATGTGAATGAAATAGACCAGAAGAGCTCTAAAGGACTCTAAAAAAAATAGTCATTAGAACAACAAGGTCCCTCACCTCATTGCTATTGAGTCAATTTTAACTCACAGTGACCCTAGGACGGGAAACCCTGTTGGTTTTCAAAACTGTAAATCTTTATGGGAGTAGAAAATTTCACCTTTCTCCAATGGAGCGGTTGGTAGTTTCAAATTGCTGAACTTCCAGTCAGCAGTCCAACGTGTAGCCTACTATCGCACCAGGGCAAAATTGTCTCCCCAAACACAAGATTTTAAAATAGGATCTAGCATATACTAAGATAATACCTAAACTGAAAATCCCTTGTGTCCCAAACCAGGAAAATGAGAATTTGAATAAGAAAATATAATCTAAAGATGTCAATACGAATGTCAGCTATTGGAATTACCTCACAAGGATATTAAAACAAGCACCATCAAAATGTTTCACTGAGCAATTACAAATGCTCTTAAAACAAATGAAAAAAAATAGAACACAAAATAAATACAAGATATAAAAAAGAATCAAGTGAAAATTTTATAGAAATGAAAAAAACAAAATAAAAACAAAATCACTAAATGGGCACAAAAGCAAAATGAACACAATCAAGGGGAAAAAAAATCAATGAATCTGAAAATATAACAACAGAAATAATCCAATTTGAATAATATAGTGAAAGATACTAGTTTATAACTACCAAATAATAACACATATATAGTAATAATTTCTCTACATTAGAATTTTACAGTGTATTATATTCTTATTTCTTTTAACACTTTTATTAGTTTTTCTTAGAAATGAATAGCAAATGGGGAGATAATAACAATGAGTGCATAAAAGAAGAAAATGTTTTAAACTTAATTATGGTGATTGCACAACTCTTCTTAATACGATTGAACTAATATGATGTGCAAATTGTAAGCCATTAAAAAAGAAATGAATATCAAAGAAGACAAAATAACATGATCATTATAGACATAAAAAGAAAAAGTGAAACTATTTTAATTAAATGTACACACAAATACCAAAACACAGAGCTACACTAAGATCCTAATGTACATACTCAATCATATGCTCATTGTTTTCATTATGTTAATTTAAATATACTTACCTACGAACTACGTCTGATTTTAGACAAATTGATTGTTGTTCAGCTGGCTGGGGTATGGGCTGTAAACAGTATAGAAATATAACTTGTTACAGTAAGAGTAAACTTCAAGGTAGAGATATAATTTGATATTTTAGAAAATATGATTGTTACATGTGATGCTTGATTATCTCTAAACTAGGTAGTATATATTATGCAATGTCTACTCATAGGTTCTCAAACGTATTTGGCTTACTTTGTACCATATCCCATAATTCAGAATAAGTGTAGGTATATGCTTTTGCAACCCCCCTGGAAGGTTCCATCACCCCGCCACCCCTCCCAAAGAAAGTATCACCTAGTTTGGGAAACACTAGTCTACATCAATCCTTTTACTGATGTTAATACCAAAGATAAGAAAAACAGAATGCACTCATAATCATCAACCTTTTAAATAAAATGGGATATCATTGTTTTATGCACCTTAGTTTACATTATTTTTCAATAGTAGACACTACTATTCACCTTTCAGTCGACTGTAAAACTACTACTAAAAAGAACTGGTTCCATTGTACAAGAAGATAGATCAATGAATCATTTTAATGTATTTTTATCTGGGAGATATATCTTTCTCTTAATCCTCTTAAAAAGTACCTATTTAGTAAACTACTTGTAATTATTCTTTGGAGACATTAGTATCCAGCAGCTGTAAGGCTGGATAGTGAGGGGAAACATTTACTTTGGCTACATTTTGAAAATAAGTTTGAAACAATTTATTATACAGTCATTGATAACTGCATATAGTGATTTTAAAGTGCAAATCTAGGAAATTGGAGCAAGATGGCAACATGAGTAGCTGCATGCTTCCGTGCCCCATAAAAGCATACATACACATAAGGTAGAAACTGAAAGAACCATTTCTTTTAGAAGTCTGGGGAAAATGTGAAAGAAGATTGTGTCGCTAGAGCTTGATGTTCCTTCGAGACCTGCTTCGCCACACTGCTGGTGTATACATCGCTTGAACTTGGGACTGTCGGATCCTGTCATCTGGCTGACTGTTGGTGACCTGCCCTACTGTTTGCTGCCTGTCACTGGACTGCCTGCATTGCTCTATAGAAGACCTGTCTGCTTCCTTGACCTTGGACCCAACAGCCCTCATGAGTTGAAGGACTTATAGTATATTAATTGTTTCACAGAAGTGAGCCCTCTGTACTGCTGTGTGAACTAATTAGCTATGATATTCCTTCATGCTGTTTAAATCTATCCATATATATTAGTGTCTTGGTTTTGTTTCTCTAGAGAACCCTGTCTAAAACAATTGTCCACACCTTGCCAACTTGGCACGAGTACACAATTCTTTAGCCACATATAATTTTCAGACATTAATGAAATCTTACTTACACCTAACATCAAACATCTATCATACATAAAAATGAAAACACACGGAATCTAATTGTATCTGGTACATCATACCTGAACAAAGGAAAGATATTCAACAAGCACATATAAAAATACACTGACAATCACAAACCTCGCCTTTGCAATTGATCACGTGGTCGTAACTGATATGTAGAATTACCTTCTTCTACTACCCATTCTGTATTACCTTTGCTCTCGGGCCACTCCCTTTTTTGGGTCTATGGGATTATTCTGATAGATCCATTCCAACATACCAATTTTCGTAAGTTTTTGGATGCCTTCTACAGTGTACCAAGTTAGGTCAGGTACCTCAAGTTGGTCTAATCTAGGCCATCTGGCAGCCCATGCTTTAGTGAACCAACTAAATAAGCAATTAGATCCTCTCTCATCCGCTCTTGCTGAGACATTGAAGAAAGAATCCGTGCTTGGGGGCCCCAAACCAATAAACTCAGACTGGTCTAATGTTACATTCCTTGCCCCAGTATCCCACCCCATTAGTAACTATTCCTAGGGATATCCCCCCAGACTTCTGCTTTTACGTATTAGAAAACTCAAGCAGATCTTTAGGAGTATAGCACACTTCTTCCTGAGGCATCATCTGAATCTCCCTTTTAGGAAATTTCTAGGTCTAAATTCTAGTTACAGGTTCAGAGGAAATAATGGGTGCTGAGGGTGTTTCTTGGGTGCTCTCAGCAATATCTTGTAAGGCACTGGTTCTCAACCTGTGGGTCGTGACCCCTTTGGGGTCAAACAACCCTTTCACAGGGTTTGCCCGATTTATAACAGTAGTAAAATTACAGTTATGAAGTAGTAACGAAAATAATTTTATGTTTGGGGCTCCCCACAACATGAGGAACTGTATTAAATGGTCGCAGCACTAGGAAGGTTGAGAACCACTGTTGTAGGCATCTCCCCCAGGCAATGCTACAGATTCAACCCCACCTGGCATTTCAGCTTGAACAGTTTGGTTAATCTGCTCAGGTCTGGGTTGTTTTACTAATAGTGGATTAATCCCCTCAGCTGGGAGGGGTGGATCTATTGACTGGATGGCTCAATCGTCTCTAGAGGCTCAATAACCTCCTTTTCTGGATCATCAGCCCATATGTTCCCATCCCATGATTCAGGGTCCCAATTCTTTCTGATTAATGCCTTTACTTTAATATCAGACATTGTTCTAGACCTGCAATTCAGCTGACACTGTAATTCAGCTACTCATATGATGAGACTCTGGATTTGGTTTTTGGCAATGTCAGCTCTATTACTAGAGGAGAGAAGACTCTCCTTTGTAGTGCATGCAGAAACTTTTAGGTCTGTTATTCGGCACTTGAGACATGCTTCAGGTTCTGAGATTATCCCTTTTCTTGAACACATTTTCTATTGTAAGGAGGACCAGCCAACCAGCTTCCCTATACAACTCATCCTGACAAAACTGCTGGAAAATATCAAACACACAATCACCAAAAGCCTCTCCTCTAACCAGCACTTCATCTATTAGTGGTGATACTGTGGATATTACCTTTGCTACTTCACACCATGCTACTTCACACATTAACATGACCCGCTCTAATAAGAGTGGCAGACTTATCCATACCTTTAGGGGTAGTGATAGCATTATCAATGCTGTTAAGCCTAAACAGTCTGGAGAGCCAATTGGAGAAGCCATATTTATGATCTTGTTTCTCTAGAATCACTCCTGGTACCAATTGTACATTAAGAAAGCATCCCAACCCAGTCTAGTCCAAGCCCTTAAGTCTGATATTAGCTCATACGTCCGATACCAATCTATAAAGTCCTCTTCAGATTCACAAAACACATGCAATGTTACTGAATGCAGGATGATCACAGGCCAGTGGGTAGAAAATCTTTGGATCCAGTGGTATTCTAAGCATCTCAGCGGTGGCAGGGGTCTCCATGTGGCTTTTCCAGTTCCCAGAGCACAGGGTCTATCATCATAGTGCCATGTGTCTTGTCAGTAGAGCATCTCCAAAGGAGTGAGTCTTGTCAGTAAAGAGTATCCAAGGGAGTGAGGAAAGAAAGTGTCCCCCATCTCCAAGGAGGAAAATACAGAAGTTTCCAGAATTCTCAGTATAAGGCCATGCCCACACAGAGACCTCATTGGCTATGATCCAATTGACAGACTAAACTCCACCCTTCACTCAATCCTCTCAAGTCCCAAATTGACACCAGATTATGTAATTACCACAAAAGGTGAATACATTTATACAAATATCTTCAGTCAAATCTATATGTCTTCATGGGTATATTCTCATTTTCCCTCCACATATATCCATATATGTATACAAATATATCCACAGTTCTGGTGGCACATGCAGGTGTTAAAGTTATGAAAACATCTTAGGTATAACAAAACACTTTAATGGAAAGAATTGCTGGACCTAGGAGATAAGGACCACAGTCTCAGCAAACACCAAGGCCAATTGGCATAAGTTCACAAAAACAATGTTCTATATCAAGAAACAAAAGGAATTTTCAAAGCTCATGAGCACCCATACAACTATTTGTCTCTCCCTCTCTAGAGGAAAGGAGTTATGAAAATAGAGAGACACATGGAAACAATTAGTTGAAGGGACTAACAGACCAGGTAAACATCAGTCTCCACAACCCTGAGACAAGAAGAACTGGATGGCTCATTACCATTACCAACTGCTCTGAAATGGATCATATTGGTCCTGGATGGAGCAGTAGAGAAATATGGAACAGACCTCAAATTCATAAATGAGACCAACTCACCGGTCATATACAGACTGGTGGGACTCCAAGACTATGGTCCTTAGACACCCAACAGGTCTGAAACTAACTCACCCCTATGTTAGAATAATCAAACATTTAACATAAAAAGAACAGCATTTACCCAAAGACAGAGGGTTAGGAAAAAAGGAGAAATGGAAATAGGAAAAATTGGATGGAAGTGGGGGAAACTATGGTACATTGAGGGGATTGCAATGAATGAGTTGAAACAAAATTTGTTCTGCAAACATTCACTTAATCATAATAAAAAGAAAAGGCTACATAAAAATGGTAGGAAAGTGTTGGTTTTCTAAGATGTATACTCAATATGCTTCCATTGCTCAACATAGCAACAATCTTAAAGGAAAAACAGTCAGAACTCCACAAAGAAGGAGACTGGTTTCTGGCTCTAGATGGGGCAAAACAAACATTTGTAAATTATTATATGTCTGGTATAACATGTCTGGGGATTGTCTTATGGTGATCATCTCAGGTTGGCTTACTGTAACTGCCTGCAGATGTTAGGGGTCATCCAATCAGTTCTTACTCATAGTGACCCTATGTACAACAGAAGGAAACATGGCCCTGAATTTTCCTCACAATTGTTCTTATGTTGTAGCCACTGTGTCAATCCGTCTTGTTGAGGGCCTTCCTCATTTTTCACTTTACCAAGCATGATGTCCTTCTCTAGGGACTGGTTTCTTCTGACATGTCCAAAGTACATGAGATGAAGACTCTCCATCCTTGCCTCTAAGGAGCATTCTGACTGTACTTCTTCCAAGACAGATTTGTTTGTTGATTATACAACTCTAATGTAAGCAGCGCTACTGAATAGTACATGTAGAAATTGCTGAGTTGGTGGATATTCTCAATAACAAAGATATACAAACGAATGAATGTGAATACATTAGTACTA